TTCAAGTCCATGAAGACACTTTATATAGAGTGTGGAGTAGATTTTGCTGTGTACGTTCAAAGGCCAAAGTTTAATCTGGATTGTGTGGCCTCTGTAGCTGGTGTGCTGGTCTTTTCCAACCATACTCCACTTCCTTTACAGGCACTCGACTGAATTGTTGCTTAACCTACGCAGTGACCCTGCCACATGCTATCTGCATCCCCTGGATCCAAGATCCACTACTACACTATTCCCCTTGTGGGCAAGGGTTTTGCTTCACGTCAGCCTGAGCCACAGACTCGTGAAGGGAAATCCATAAACCTCATGTAAGGGCAGGGGAAAAAAAAGTCAGCACCAGTGCTTACTCATCTGGTAAAAACGGAGTGATCTGCAAAGTTTGTATGAGAGGGTTTTTGACGGTGCCCTGCTGCTTTGTCAGTGCAGCACATGCTGCAGGCACTGGCATCCCCTATTGCCTTCCAGGTCATTGGCCAGGCCCAGCAGGCGGTGGGCTTCTAGCCCCATGACACGTCCCTGATTCACAGCTGGATCCGTAACAAGGTATCATAGCAAATGAGTCGGTAAAACATCACTGGTTTGAAGAGCGTGAAAAATTGTCATGATATCATTTGTAATTCCTGATCTGGACTGCCGTAGTAGGGGAAAGAGGGAGTAGAGGGAGAGAAAGAGATCTAGTAATGAAGGGGTTTTTATTCCTCCTTACCATCTCCACCAGTCTCAGCCCCCTCACCAACCCACCACCCCTCAACCTGACCCCCAAACTGATGCCCGAGGGGCCAGATCCGAGCTAATGTAAGGAGGCAATAATTAAACATCTCGTGATCTGCAGCCAAGTGGCTTATAGGTGTTACACTCTTAACATGAGAGCTTTATGACACGTTGTCCTGTTCTTGAACGTGGCTCTTGCTCCTCATTGCACATGACTCATGAGTGGTCCTGATGTGTCAGATTGGGCCTGTCCTGGTGGGTTGCGGTGAAAGTGGTGATGATTTGGAAAGATGCACCGAGTAGTTTTTTGAGTAAGTCAAATGATCCAAGACATATTAAAGTTGCTGAGTACATATTTGAGTGCATAATGCTTTCAAAATCCAAGATAGGGGATAAAATATCAACACAAAGGTGCACAAAAAAATGGAATTATATTTTGTTGATTAAATTAAGAATTAAGAAAAAAGGAGAGAAGAAACGAGGAAGCAAAAAAACAACAGGCACCTTAAAATACCATGCAGTGATATTCCTGCCTACCTTTGTAGATACTATAACAATGAGTTGGGTCTTTTACCTGCTTTTGTAAAGTGTATTGAGAAAACATTTGTTATGAATTGACGCTACACAAATAAAAAGAATGATTGATTGATGATTAAAAGTCACAGCGGTCCAGTCTAATAAAGTCCATTGTGCTTCATAAATTTTGAAGATACATTATGCTGGGTTGGGGGAGAGGAGGGGGGGCCAGGCTTGACTTTACTGTAGCCCATAAATGATTTTCTAAAATTGATCAGAGAGAGAAATCTCCATATTTCAAGATGCTGCTTCACATAACTATGGAGAATGACAGAGAACAGAAGAGACACAAATTTGATATTTTCTTAAGATTGGTTCAAGACATATGTTGTGGTTGCTGTTTTTTAACACATTACCTACTTCCTTCCAAAAACTACTACAGTACCAGGCTGAGCAGTCATTAGAAACAGTTAGAAAACGTTTGAAAGATTGAGCTCCAATAAGTGGATTGATTAGAATGTTACCAGCATGAGTTTGTAAGTGAGACAGGGGAAAGTCTGCATTTGAAAGGTGTACAGAAAATGGTAGAAACCTTTCTTTTTTTTTAAAATAAATTAACAGTCAACAAAAAATCAGAAAATGTTGTATGTTTTTTTTTTTACAACTAATTGTGCCATTGTCATTAAGCCAAAAATGAATATTCAAAAAAGATAAAGAGATGATAAAAACATTGTATTTTAGTAGCACTGAATAAGGAAAGCTGCAAAATTGCATAATGTATTATGCAACAAAAAAGGGCATTTAAACCCTTATGATCTTTAACCTTTCTGTGTATAAAGTGCAGTTGGCTGTGTGTGTGTGTGTGTGTGTGTGTGTGTGTGTGTGTGTATGTGTGTGTGTGTGTGTGTGTGTGTGTGGGTTTGATGGATGCAAAGAATGGACAAACATCAGCTCCCTCTAAAACCACAATGGAGACCTTGGATCTAAATGTCATGGTTTCAGAACGGATACACTGACATTTGTGTGATGGGATTTAGCCATGGGTTAATATAGCCATTGCTGGCACAGCGCATTGATGTCCATCTCACCCGGGCTGTGAAGTCTATCTCACCATTTTGTTTGGTGGCCTCACAGAAGTTTCTTTCAAAGGGATGAATTGGATTCTATGCTGGTTAAAGCCAATTATTTTATCAGGAATAAAAAAAAAGCGTTTGATATGTAGGTTTGTTTTCTATGATTTTAATGTGCCTCAGGAGCTGTTCAGATCCTTCCTTTTTGGTGAGTGTAGAGCTGAGGGTGAAAGGGGGGGGGTGGCTGCTGGGGAAGGCAGGCGATCAGCATTAAAATCAGAGCCATGTAAATCTAATCAATTATACCGTTTTTCAGATAAAATGTTGGTAAATCAAAACACATTTTCCAAAAGTCACAGTATAATGAGAAATTTAAATTGGAAACAGAAACCATTTGTTTATTATAAATGCCAGGGTGAGGTGGTGACTTGCCATCCATAAATTTCGTTATCCTTTCATATTCCTTTTATCTATGACTACAGCTTTGGCACTCATTCAAGATTTTAATGAACCCAGACTTCTGAGGCATCAAGGCCTAGTGATGCATTGTCCATTTGGATCAGGGAGTGCAGAGGGGGGACAAAGGCAAAAAGCCTCTGCCTTTGACATAATATTTTATATTCTACTGCCTTACAGGGGGGTCATTAGGTGATTGCAACATTTAACAACATAACAGATTGACAAGAATAAACACATATTCGTCATATATCTGAAATTAACAAGCAGACTGACAATCTGTGTACGTGTGTGTATGTGCGTGTGTGTGTGTGTGTGTCCGTGTGTGCATGTGGCAAAGGGGTGACTTGAATCAAAAATAATTTTCTCTGCTTTATGAGGACACAGAGAACCCCCCTGCTCTGGCGCGACCTGGTGTCGGCTGCTTTCTTGGGCTCAGAGGTTCCTAGGGGAGACCAGAATGGAAGTTGAGCATCTCGCTGTGATCCAAAGAAAGTGTGCCAAATGCTATCAAAACTGGATTAGTAGACAACAATTGTGTTCGATGAACGCCAGGGGGAGGGGGAGAAGTAGTTTCCAAGTAACCCATGGATGGAATTTTCAAACTCTATTGCATTTTTTTTTTTTATCCCATGTAGGAATGGATGCGCACATAAGCCCCCTTTGTAAAGGGATAAAAATCTATCTGAAATAATCCCACTTTTCTCATCTGATCAAAGACGAAACAGAGAACCTGCAAACACACTTGATGTTTAGACTTACAGTAAAAACCAAATGAGACATTTCTGTGAACAGGTCATTGCAGGTGTTGTGTATGAAGATGAACATGTGTGTTTCTGTCATGTGGTGGATGTTTTTCATGTGTTATCAGCCTTTGGGCGCGAGACATAAAATGAAATAACACATATTGAAAGCACAATTAACTAGAAGATAAACAATGTTTAGTAGTTGTAATTATGTCCTTTGTCCTTTAAAGTAAAGCCCCATATACACATCTTCCAAAATTTCAGTAAGTGGCGAGCAGTTCTGCAGCATTTTGATACTCTATATGTTTAAATGTAATGATTTTGAAGGACTACATTTACCATCAACTTTAAAAAAAAATCAGTGAAATAATAATGGCAATTCCTGTTGCAAAAATGTGTTTTACCTATCCTGTAAAAAAAAAAAAAAAAAAAAAATCACGTCTCATGAGATTGTTCCTGTGACCCACTGCGGGGGGGGGGGGTCCAGAACTTCATGTTAGATTATGCATTATAATAAAAGTCACGATTTTTTCCTCTGGAAAACTGGAAAAACTACAGTTATTTTAAACCACAATATACTCATGACACAATATGATATAATTTGTAAAATATTATATAAAATGTATTCATAAAAATTGTATTATTATACGATAAAATATAGCATAGTAAAATATTGTGTCGGTTCTGTTATGATTTCTGATGTCTGGGCAAGAATTTTGAACTCAATCAAACAGAGAAATAATAGGCTTATTATAAACATTGTTCTCAGGGTCTACTTTCAAGTAGCTACATTCAGCTCTACCGCCTTCATAAAGTCAAATAATTCCAGCAGCACGTTCAGATTTAAATACACCCACAGTCCAACGGCCGCCCTCTGAATGCTGACATTTGGAGCAAATCCCCTGCTGACTTAATCATGGCAAATATTGCGTGTCAGTCGTGCTCCACACTTGGACCTGGCTGATGGTAGTGGTAGTAATTCACCACTGCTGTGAGGGAGAACTCCTGGGGCGACGAGCCTTGTGCTCAAATCTCTCTTTCCCTTTTCAGCCCCCCCCCTCAGTCTCCCTTTGCCTTACAAGCTTCAACCTGCCTCTGTACCTTCTGTCACATCGAGCAGGACACCATAGTTATAAAAAGAGACCATCTGTGAGTTTGTGAATGTAACATGATGAGGACTTGCATAGCAGCAACAAAAAAGTAAGAAGTAATCACAGTCAAAATCTCAATTTCAAATTGTTTCTATTATTTTGTTGAATTATTCTTTATAGCCCTTAATGTTTTCTATCATAACTAATTGAATAAATGATTTCCCTTTTAATTCATGTGCCTTCCTCTGCCGTCCTCCCCCTTGCCCTTTCTATCCCACTTCTTCTTCGCTGTTTATCCTCCCATGTGCTTGGAGTCCTCCAGAGCCCCGCCTTTGCTGCAAACCAATCACAGAGCCCGCTTTTCACGAGAGAACTTCTCCCTCAGCCAATCACGGCTCGCTGCTCCAGCGCGTCACACAAAGAAACATGGCGGCGCACATCACCAGGGCTGTGAAACGAACTGTACCACAGTAAGTCAGTTTGTGTTTTATATTCCTGCTTCTGCAAACTGTGCTGCGTCTGAGGTGTAAAAGCCCAACAGGCTAAATGTATCGGCGCCATTATTTGGTCGAGAAAGAAATCCCTTTAAATCACAGTAGCGACTGTCGGTTAAATGTTTGTTTGTTTGTTTTTGTTGGAGAGACGAAGGCTACAGCTGTCTAAACTGTTTTTAATATTACATTCGTCGACCTCTCTCAGTTATATGCACCGAAAGGAAAGATAAACGACGTGCTTTAAGCTATTTGTTTGCTGAAGTAGGGTCCAAATGTACATTAGCTCCAAGCTTGTATTGCTGCATAACATTGCTGTGACCCTGGGCTGTTTGGTTGTGAATAAAGACAAAAATGATAAATAATATAAGTACCAATAGACACAATTGAGGTTGAACACCAAAAAGTTAGCTAAATGCAGTGTAATTGTTTGCATTGCATGTGATTGTATTGAGTCTATCTTGTAAGTTGCAGATATGAAGCTGTGCAGGCTTTGACTTTCTTATAAACTGTTGTATTATTGGAAAGAAAAGGGAAGATAGCTTTTAATCAAATAACACTCCTAATGTGGCTGCCTGTACTCAAACAGCCTCTGTGTGACGGCCAACAAGTCAAATATAAAAATATATACTTTTATTAATATTATATATTTTTTTTTATCCTTTAATCACTTGTTTCTATTTCTTTTTCTGCTCTTACCTTCTTATTGCTGTTGTCTTTTTATTTTAGCTCTTTTAGTTTCTTACAAATGTCTAAAATCTTTGGTCCTTTTGGTCTCAGCTCGTTTTGTTGGGTTCTTGTGTTTCCTGGGTTCTTATCATGGTTCTTGTGATGGTCGGGTTCTATATGTCTGTTGGGTATCGTGCACTTTGGGTTCTTTTCTGGTGAATTGTATTTAATTATTTTTAGTATTTTGCTGTTGTTTATGTTCTTCTGTGTTTGGTTTAGTTTGCTTTGTTCTTGTTTTTGCTGTTTGTCAAAGCACTTTGTAAACCTGTGTTTTTAAAAGGTGCTATAGAAATAAAGTTATTATTATTATTATTATTATTAATAATAATAATAAATAAACTTAAAGGGATAAATACAAATGCTAGTGTTGGATGTGAGGAGTAGCAGTTCTGTCGTGCATGTAGGAAGGTTATCTTAGCTCTGTATTAAGACTGAGAGGAGGGGGAAACAGTTTGCTTGACTTTTTCCCAAGAGTCCAAGTAACCAAGTGTTATGTAAGTGTCTCTAAGTCTGTACCTGGACACCTCAGTGTTAAGAGCTAAAAGTGAACTTGGAGCCATTAATATGCTCACAGGACACAATGCAAACATGCTGATGCATGCTGATTTAACCACTTGTTTCTATTTCTTTTTCTGCTCTTACCTTCTTATTGCTGTTGTCTTTTGATTTGCTTTTAGCTCTTTTAGTTTCTTACATCTTTTTAAATCTTTGCTCCTCTTGGTCTCAGCTCATGTTGTTGGGTTCTTGTGATGGTCGGGTTATATATGTTTGTTGGGTATCGTGCACTTTGGGTTCTTTTCTGTTGAATTGTATTTAATTATTTTTAGTATTTTGCTGTTGTTTATGTTCTTCTGTGTTTGGTTTAGTTTGCTTTGTTCTTGTTTTTGCTGTTTGTCAAAGCACTTTGTAAAAGGTGCTATATAAATAAAGTTATTATTATTATTATTATGTGTTGCAGGTAAACAATGCTTCCCTTCTAAGATTAGTATGTTAACAAACTTACATTTGTAATTTAACTTAGCATGAAGTAGCTTACAGTTTGGACTTTTTGGGATGTGCGCGTTAGGTCGACTACACTGTAAAAATTTGTCACCCTTGCCAGTTCGCAACATAATTACTATAAGACTAAACCAATTATCGATATATTAATGTTGGCCCTCGATGCCGGTCAAATGTTATGCTCAAACTGCAACAACTTCAGCTGTCCGTCACTAGCTGAGGCTTTATCCACAGACCGGCTGAAGCTTCTGTTAATGTGTCTTCTCTCCCCGTTCTACTACCTGGATGTAAGCAAGTAGTGTATGGGTAGCATCTTGTAGGGGCAGTGAGGTTTGGCAGTATTTTGAGCTAGAAAATGGAGATAAAGTTATGTAGATAGTTTCAGGTTAAACTTGCATATGGACCATATGTGTAGCTACATTTAGAATGTGGATGTTAACATGCAAGGTGCTAGCATATCTGACGTTAGCCACTCTCAGCAAGTCAAATTACATTGTTTAGCAGCAGACAATTTAAGCAAATTGTGTTAAATGTTGACTGTTGTCTTGGTATTTTCTTACCTTTAGAATAGTCAGTTTGTCTGAATTTAAATTGACTTTAAATCAACAAGAAAACTAGTCTAATAGGAACAACCCTAATGGGAATGTCATAAACCATAAATGGACAAATTCATATTTTAAAAGATTGGGGCTAGATTTAAATGTATGAAATGATTACTTTAGTTAGTTTACATAGCTTTTTATTGGCTTAAAATCACATGATAACCATAAAAGATGGCTCACGATCTTGTTCCAGGTATGGCAGAAAAAAGTTGTTGTCTGCATATTCTCGTCCAATACATGAGACCATAACTATAGCCACTTCTAAGATTTTCAGTATTTCTTGAATACAACTCTATACTTGAGCACTTCTAGATGCCATGTCTTTTAAAATGATACATAATTGTTTTGATGATTGAAAGTATCACAAAAACCACAAAGCTTTAAAAAGTAAACTTGAGATCTTCAGTCTTATTCTTAACCAAAAGCTGCCACAAGTGAAAGATAGAGCAATGTCTAAATTGCAAAATATACTTTTAAATATTTGGGTAACTTTTGACAGTCTTTATTTCTACAAATTAGACAGTTTGCAGGAGCTTGTCTGTATTCTTTGATAATCTGAAACATTTAATGCAGAGAACTTGTATTTTTGATTCTGTGGTAAGGAAACAGGTATTGAAATGGTTTGATTTTAGTACTAGAATTGTTTAAAATTCTGGTATTGCGAAAGCTCTAACCACTTCTGATTTGATTCTAACATCTGCTTTCAGAATCCCTTTCCTAGAAATCTTCATCTTTATGAAAAAATAATCCTTAATGTAGTGCTCATTTTAATAATACTGAGAATTTAAAAACCTCCCATATGAATGAGAATTGTTAGAATTCCTTCAAAATGATGTCATGAGATTCAGTTGACAGTCAAAGTTGCCTTGAGCTCATTCCCCTTCAGTAAATTGCCATACATGTCACATTACGGTACAAAGAGAAAGTAAGTTTGAATATACTTAAACTGGTTTAATATTCTAGTAATGTGTCTGTACTGGTCAACTACAATGTGACATGTTGCTCTAATTCGAGGCACATGTCTGTCCAGAGGCACACATTTGATGATCCTGCCAAATTAGAGTGTGAAGGGACTGTCAATCCAGTCTGGTGTGTGTGTGTGTGTGTGTGTGTGTGTGTGTGTGTGTGTGTGTGTGTGTGTGTGTGTGTTGTATGAGTGTGTGTCTTTTTGCTTGCTGTAATAGACTGAATAGATTAGAAATAAAACATCTATCCATGCTCAATTATATGATCCCTTTTTTAAGTGGGGTAGTCTTTTGTTCTTGTACTTTTTTCTCTAAATATGGAAAGTGTTTATCATATTTCCCAGTGTTTTTATGTTCTGATCATGTGCAGAGTTTTGTAAAACGAAAAACATATAAAAAGTCATGATTTCCTTATAGGGCTCAAATTAAATTTTAGCTGTAGTTTCTAAGAGGCAGCACCTACATGGTTAAATGCAGCCCTCTCAGATGGCTGGAACCAGGACAGGAATGTGTGTGCTTGTTTTATGGACAGCCTAGAGCCCTCGCCCTGGCATTGGCGGCAGACTGCTCTTTGTCACAAACACCCTCGTGTCAAAGATGCAACAGCATCCTGGAGGAAGCATTGACTGCTGCTATGAAGTCGACAAGTGATGAAAGTAGCCTAGAGGTTGTCAATTAAGAGAGCCAAGGCCTGGACCTTATAAGTTAATGGGCAGTTTCCCCTCTCAGGGCCTGCTAGGGCTTTATAGAACAGCTTATAAAAACCCCAAGAGTAATGCACCCCTATAACGTTTTCAATTAAGAGAAAGGGCATAAAGCAGTGCAGACACTTGGCAGTCATGCTAGAATGTTTATAAAGTGGCATTTGGCATAAATTGGGATGGGAATTTTCAATTGCCCCAGTTGTTTTAATGCAGCAGCTACTGTGCAGAATTTTATTTTGATGGCACTTCATGCTGACTGGAAGCATTACCGACTTCCTGGTGTCTTTCCATTACCAGCTCTTTTAGCTGGGTCATATGGACGCACAGCCTGAAGTTTAAAAGCCCCGTCTTCTCAGTTGTAAAAGAGATTAGAAACAGAAAAAGACACTATTTAGTTATACTTTAAACTCGTTATATTAGTACAAAGCATCATTATAAATGCAGTAGTCATTAAAGATTAAATTAGCTCATTTCCATTTAAAACTGTCCTATAATAATGAGGAATTTACAATGTGGTGCAATTAAAGAAAACAAAATAAAACCAAGGAGATTATTGTTTGTAATTGGCTCTTATGCACCACAACCCGCTTGTTTGTATTGGCATTTAAAAAATAAACCTTAATTCCAAATGCTGAAAAGAAAATCCCTTCAGTCATCTGGTCTCTTCTGTGCTGCAGCTAGCATTGGCTTCCGGTAGAAAAATAAATGAGTGCTGAATAAACAGCAGTGTGTTGACACCTCATTTCCTCATTGATTGGTGGTGGAAGCTGAGCTTGAGGTGTGTGGCCATAATCCAATCAGGCAAGAAAACAACCACGGGAACTTTGTCACTAAATTCTTAAGCCGGGGAGGGCGAGCAGGTTGGCTAAGAAACCTTAAACCTTTTACGCTTTGACTGTCCTGGGTTATTTAATGGTTAATCTTTTTGCTGGACACTTTCTCAGCCATTACCTAATGGTTTTTCTTGAAACGGGAGCCTA